CCACTCATTGAGACCCTCCTCTCCTTAAACTGCTCCCCATTGCCTCGGTCTCCAATCCCGCCGCTCTCCTCCCCGTCCTCGCTGCCGAACGCCGGAGCAGTGAGGTGACATAACGGCCATGACTGTGCCGACCATTCCCCCTCTTCCTGCATTACAACATGACACATGCGAAGCCCCGTGGAACTCAGGCTTCATGTCCCAGCTAGTGGGCAGATACCTGGTCTGCCGGGAACCCCCGTAAGCGACGGTGGATCTGTCCCGGGTCGCACCATTCATGCGGAGAAACATCACCGACACCATCCGAGAACAAAACAACAATGCTCCATACACAGCAAAACCACATCTGCACTACACTTACGGAACTAACAAACCTCGACGCTCTGTTGACGCACCCGGATCATTGAATCAATCATCTAAAATCTCGTCAAACCCTCAAACGCCACCAACTGCCCTCCCGACTGCATGTACCTTCAGTCCTTTCATCAGCACCTGGCTGCGGCCGCACGCCTCCACCACCTCCTGTCTCACCCTCAATCTCCCACCTCCTGCCCCCGGCCATCTTCAATACGCGTGCCGTCACTGCTCCCTCGTTTCCACACGTGTCCCCTTGCACAGCCCCACGCCTCTCGGTCACCGTCCGCTTCTATCGCGGCGCGCCGCCCAACGTCGATACTCCAGCTAGTTCCGTATGACCTCGCATCTCGCCTATGGTGTCCCACGCGACCCACCCCGATCGGACCGTTCGCCCGTCCCCTCCGCCCCCCCCTCTCGTCTCCCCGCCCCTTCGCCCCGCCCCGTCCCCGCCCGGCGTCCCCGCCCCAACGTCCCGTAGCCCCTCCCCCTCCGCCCTTCGTCCCCGCACAGCGTCCCCGCCCCTCGTCGCGCACCGCGTTCCCCGCCCTTCTCTCGCCTGCCCCGGACTCCGCCCTAATCCCCCGCCCCTCCACCTTAGTAGCGTCGTCCCCCCGCTCTCTCCAGATCCTCCAGAGCCCCCCTCGAAGCCCCCTCACCCCCGCCCCACCGATACACCCCGCCCTTACCCCGCCCCTCGACTCCGCCCCTAATCCCCGCCCTCGCACGCGCCCTCACCCCCGCCCCTCAGTCCCCTACACGCCCACTCTCTACACCCCGCCGCTCGGCTACGGAAGCTCGGTGCGCAGATATGTGTGCGTCTGTGTCACTTGTGCTGCCCGGCAGGCCACCTCCTACCAGAACTACCGAACGACGCGCGAAATTCCAATAAAAGGTTCCGGTGGTTAGCAGCGAGTCGAGAGTTGTTAAAGTTTAGGTCTGGAATTGGGTGAATGGTCAATATTCCATTATAAGTGTTTTCACATGAAATGCCGTGTAGTTTCTCTTCCACTATTTCACAATTTTCTGCAAAATATTTACATTTATTTGGCAACACCACCTCCAGACATCTTTATATTTTCGTGGTATATTGCACGCCCTTAATGAGGTAATAACATTCAGGAATATGCTGTTTGAAGTTGACGTCCGAATAAACAAAGATATTTTCACTTTAAAACCTTAATTTACAAGGTGAAGAATTTTTGCACTGATCCGTATAGCAATTTGATAATTCGCGATTACAAATTTACATTTAAAGACATATTTGAAATTATTAAACAGTTCATTATTTTGTTTCAGTGTGGAACCAATGTAGTAACATTGAGGTTGACATACACGCAAAGCAAAAACCCCGTTTTTAAGAATAATTTTGTGTTGAACGGTTATTACTCTGTTTAATTCTTATGGCAAAAGTATGGGCGATTGCGTTCACATGAGACTGAACATGTGAGGACACTTGGAAGTGGCTCAAAGTTACTGTAAAACACCATCCCGACAAGGCTAAACATTATTTTGCAGCTTATTTAACCTTTTCTCTCAAATATTATTACTGATGCGTTAGGGTCTACGGATGATGTCAAAACAAAACAAACTTCTTAGTGAAAAGAACCACTTCAATAGTAAATGGTGAAAAAAATATAATTGTGAAAAACCTGCGAATAGATTTTCAACTAAATAATCAACGTCTAGTTAAAACAATTGTATTTTTAGATACATTGCTGGTTTATAACGGCAGGGATTCCCGTTCTGAAATTTGATGGTTGTAGAAACGAATTTCAATTTAACTTACGCACAGCCATTTCACACTATCTCAAATAGCGTAGTCGAAATCGGTCGTAGTATGGGATAGGGTGCAAAAACACCCTATCCCATACCTCCCTCTGCGTCCAGACACTGTTGCTTCCGCACGAGCTCTTCCCACGAAGGTGAACTGCTCGCCTTCTGTTGGCTAGCCTTGTGCGTCGTCGCGTCTTCCTCGCCGAGCGATATTTCGTCCTGCGGCGGCGCTGGCGCCCGCAATGGAGCTTGGCTTGCGAACGGAGGCTATTGCGGAGGGGATCCCTGCGAAGGGCAAGTACAAAGGGCACTGTATGCGCGGAGGGCGCCTCGGGCTCCGTGGCCGTCGACGAGGGCGGTTATCGCTGTACGGTGCACTGCAGCGCTCCAAGCGGTGATTGAGGCGACTCGCTTTCCTTCACCCGGCCACCTGTGGTTATATTGCAGAGCGCTACACTGCTACAGTCGAGTTGCTGAATATTTCGCGTTTTCCGGCGCGTCGAAAACTTTGGTGGATAGCTTTGCTGGTGTGTAGTTCATGTTGCAACCGGGAGGTGGCAGTGTTCGTCCTTCGCTGGAATCAGAAAGGTGACTCAGGGCATTAACTGGACATCAACATCACTGTAGTGCCTCTGACCAGAGATCCTAGCTTCGTATCCCGACGGTGGTAGGCTTTTCGATACTACGTAGCTTGGTCGAGTTCTGTCGCAGCCCGGTGGAGTATTCTGGCAGCCGCTGCTCGTATCGGTAGTTTTCCGTGGTTCCGCCAATAAACACGAGGATCAGAGCCGGAGCAGTACCCTAACAAACGGGCCCCGGACCGCGCGCGAACTTTCCCTCCTATTCCTTGCCTTATCCTCGCCTCGTACACACACGTACAAAAATCTGCACTACACCATTATACACGTCGGGAGACCGGTCGAGGGCTTAGAGCGTGTCCCGGCTGGGACGGTGTCAGAGATATACCTGGTTGCGGGAAATCCCTGCTGGTGGACGGTAGGTCGGCCCCTGATCGCCAGCCAGTCGGGGAATATCACCGCCACCTCCCGAGGAAAAATACATATACTTCTCTTACGGGAATGATGACCTTAGCAGTTGGCGAGTTCGGAATCACAAATCTATCAATGGAACAATCAAACCCTTGCTTAGATATGAGATGCCGCTTTGAAGGATACGTTAGCTTGTGTGCTTTTTCCTTCGACGTAGCTTCCGCAGCAATGCACAGACCCAGTTTTTCTAGCCCTAGTCTTCCGACTAGACTCCGCATGTGTGTGGTACGAGTAATTGTGATTCTGAAATATTTGGGGAAGGGAGATCACGCGCGGTTCGTGACATTTTTCTTTCAGTGCTGCTTCGGCATTCGGCTTATATTAATTAAAGAAACCACCTTTCTCCAGGTAGCGGCCGGCTTCAACTCGCCTCTTGGAGCAAATCCGCCATCTCGCTGAACTCGAACCCTATGTCCATCTCACTCCGTTAAAATGGATATGAACCTGATTACCATACCATCACGGTTTGTTTCTTGTAAGGGTACGTATATAAAATCATCACGCTTAGCGTAATATTTTCGGATCATAATCGGAATTTATTTACTAGGTAGACTCATGCGAAAACTATTCCCCTTGTAAAAATATTGTTTTAAAATATGAAATTACATTAGTAACTTGAAACTACATCATAGAAACATGATGCATAACATGAAACAATATTTATTCATCGATTATTTCGTATTCTCGGGCGCGTCAACTACATTGGTCGTTAGTCTCGTAAGTGTAGTACGTGTTTAACACTTAGTATACGTAAGACGTTCTTATGTGTGTGGTGTGGGTCCGTATGTGTGTGGTGTGGGTGAGGATAAGACAAGAAACATGAAGGAAAGATCGCGTGCAGTACATCTATTTGGGAGATGTTGCGTCACTTACCAGCAACCACGGAAAAGTGCAGATAAGAGCTGGAATTCCACACCAGACAACGCTGAATTGGACCTTGCTATTTAGCTAGTGTCAAAAGCCTTTGCCACCGTCGGGACTCGAACTGTAGGACTTCCCGGTTATTGGCGAAAATTGGTGGCGACAATATCTTACACTTTAAATGTGCTTGCTTTCAACAAATATTTAAATTTTTTCTTTATGCGTAATGACAATGACTGAGAGAAACTTCAACAAGAATGACGGGGAGCGCGGTGTCATAATCATTTTAGTGAACGCTAGCCATCATTATACGTATGCTCGCCGATGAATACACATTTTTTTCCTTTGTGGTTGTTGTCTCAAATATTGGATAATATTGCTCTGCTAACGTATCTTAATTTTTCGTAGATCAGATAAAATTTATTCTTTCAGGATGATGATCTTGCTCTTACGGGAACAAGAGTTTACAGCTATTATCAGAAGACATGGGATATATTAGCGTGTGTTTTAGAAACTTTGAATACTTGAATTAATAACATAGTAGTTTATTTCCTAAGACAATTATTTGTTTTTTTAAGTTAATTTAACAATTGTACAAAAAAGCATTTAATCTCCATGCCAGTAAACGCAGCATTAATACAGGGCAATAAGATAAAATCATACCAGCCAAAACAATAACGTAACTAAATTTAATACTTATATTAATTATTTCTTTCCGAACATGCTATAAAAACATTAGTTCATCATTCATGGCTTTGATTTCATATAGTGTACACCCTTATTAACATAAACTATTACTTGCTCTTCATACAAACGTGACGTCAGTCTCTACATTCATCATAAACCCACACACCGAAATCGACATTAAATTGCAAACAATCCTACGAAATAATAACTAAAGGTAATTCTTTTAACACAACTTTACCAGAAGCCTTATAACAGATCATTTAACGTTTTGTGTAGGGCAAGATAAAACGGACCTTCCGGCACCAAGTAGGCAGGAGCATACCAGGCGGCTCAGGAAGTTCGACGCCGCAAGCACTATGGAGAGTAGGTCAGCAACTGCTCAGAGAGCTACAGGAACCCGGACGACCGCGCCCCAGGCAGAGGGCGTGCTGGTGCGAGCCTGCGCGCCGGCGAGAAGTCCAGCTGCCGTGCCCTAGACGCATTAGAAGGCTGTCTGAGTAACTTAGGAAGTTTATATGTTTTTTGGGGAAAGGGCTCGTGGATGGTCACATTTTGGTGAATAAACTGTTGAGCTAAAACCCTGTACTGATTATTCAATAGACGTGAGAATATAAATAACTGCATTGATTTTGTAAAGTTCTATCTACTTCGACTTTGAATTTAAATCAACCAAGTTAATCTCACTAATTACTACTCTAACAAATCTCAGCTAATTGTGGCGTCTTTACAATATTGTTTTGAAAGAAAATTATTCAGTGAGAATAAGACTGCCTTTCTTGATTGATTTTTAGAATTAGTTTGAAGGCTCTTTATTTTTTTAGGCAACATTTATTAATACTTTTTTACTTAAAATCATACAGTTTTTTGACCAACGTTTCAAAGGTCAATGCCCTTCATCAGTAGGGTATATTAAATATAAGTGAATACAATATTAATTAAACAATTCTAAGTTATAAATGACAAAGTGTTCAAATGTTTAAATTATCATCCAAATATTTATTTACAGCAGAATTACAACCAAAAGGTAAAATTAACTGCCTGGATGTTACATTGATAAGATCTGGTAAAAATATACTTACTAAATGGTACACTAAACCTTCAATAGCAGAAACTATTTCGAATTTTCTATTGATTAAACGTGCTATAGAGACCAACGTAATTGACAGAATAATAAAAATTACGTGGACTGTCTTTGTTGATAATGTAATAGAAAAATATTTCTGTTATTACTAAGGAATATTTTTCCATTGAAGTTTAATGCACGATTAATTTGCACAAAATTAAAAAATGGCACATCCCAGATCTATTATTAATAATTTGGAACATTGTCAATTTATTAGTTTACCGTTTATTCCATCGATTAATTTTCAACTGAAGCAAAACTATTAAATCAATATAATATCAGAATAAGTAACCCCACATTTAATAAAAATATGTATAAAACATACGAATGATCCTGTCTCTAAATTGGAACTGAAAGTATATTTATTACAATATCAACAATATAATTTCTGTTACGTAGGGCACACATCAATAAACCTGAAAGAAAGGATAAGAGAGCATAAGAATAATATAAACAAATAGAAGAAAGATAAAACTTCTTAACAAAACAGATATGACAGTGATCATCAATTTGATTTTCTTAATCCCATTATATTAAATAAAGAACTTAAATACCACTCCAGGATTACTAAAGAAACTATTAATATAAAATTACAGCAACAAACAGTAATTACTATGACAGTACCAAATTCTTTCACAAAACTTTATGACCCAATTATTAATATATTTAAGAAATAATGCGTGCTACAAACATTTTTTTCTTCAACTTCACCAGCTTCACCTTTTTAAAGAATCACTTTCACTTATTATTCATATAAGAATAATTTATAAATAATAGGAGGCTGTGAATATTATATGAAAACACGACTTGATATTTCACTCTCATTAAAAATTACGTATATTTTATTCAGGTGAATTATAAATTTAAATTATTAATTGACGCAATTTTTCTCAAAGGTCGTATTTAATGAAATAACAATTATAATTTAGTTACAACCTTTAAATTAAAATAATATCATAAAATAATTAACACAAACAAAACATTGAAAATGGTATATAGTAGATTTATTTAAACACTTTGTCATTTATAAGTTGTAGAATTGCTTCATTAATATTGTATTCACTTATATTTATTAGACCCTGAAGGTGAAGGCCAATGACCTTCGAAATGTTGGTGTAAACTTTGTATTTGAGTAAATTTATTAATGAATGTCTGCCTAGAAAAATTGAAGGACCTTCAAAACAATTCTTTAGAGCATACCGAGTCGAAACATTTGCTTCCCCTCTCGCTCTTTTATTGATCACTTTTCCTAATTACATTTCAATGATTTCTAACAGCTAATAAATAAGCGTATTTCGTCTACAAATGTTTCTTAGATGTTTCAACGTGCCACTTATGTGTTTATGTAATCATTATTCAGACTACATTTCCATTGGTGATTACTGTTTCTTAACAAAAAGCATATTGTTTTCAATAATTGCGATACACATCGTTTCCACATTCAAAAGTACATTTCTTTTATCATTTCATAAATAAATACCACAGTTTATAACATCTTTGTTTTTCTCCTTTTAAATCTCGGCGAAAATTAATAATTTGTCTCCATTTATACGTACAAATTATTATATTTCAGAAGGTATGTACTTTCTCAATAGAAAATTGATTGTGAGCTTTCATACTAAATAGAATGTCAGTGGTAATAATTGCATCCTTTTTTAATAAGTTTGATAATTCACAATTTTCTCACTTCAAAAAATGAAATGTATTTATGAAAGAAGCATTATACGTTACTTTGAAACGTGTTTCATTAAAGCAATGCTCATTACTTGGAACTGGAGAGGAAAATTCAGTTTTGAAGTTCTTTTTAAAGTTAAAAGAAATAATATGACGCACGTTTCTTCTAGCAGATTCCGTTTCTTTATTCCTTTCACCAAGTCAACAAATTAACTTTCTGTAAGCACAAAAGGATGTTCTGGGAATTAAATCCTGTGATGTGTTTCACATCTCTTGGGACAATGTGAACTTGCTACCTTGTTTGACGACGCGAGCAAAGAAAGACATTTCAAACTTAGATACGTCCGATTCCTACACGTACAATCGGCAACAATTTTTAAAACAATGATATGTAAATCATTCTATTAATATATCTCCAGCCTGATAATTAGCATAACTGAATATTTTGAACTTTAGTAGGTTTCAGTGTGTCAACTTGTCTCTTTGTTGATTTCTGCCTCAGCTCACTACATTCTCCTTCCAGCGAAATATAATATACTTGTTTGTTTCCATCCTGATCTGTTATCTTTCCTTCTACACAACTCCCTAAGGCTATTTGCAATACACTATTTCTTTCGAGATATATTCATTTTTTGTCGGTTTCCTTTTCTCATAATCAACAGGACACTTCCTTTTCATTTGGATTATTCGAAATATTAACTTTTAATATCAGCCGTCCATTTGACTTTTTCCATGTTATAACAAACTACATTTCAAATTTATCTGTATTCTTCACCCATTTCTCACTGTTATCATCTTAACTCAGTAATCATATTTTTTTAAATGCATGCCATATTACTAAGGTATCACAAGTGTTCATGTTTGGGTTACTAACATCAGATAGTAGTTCTTCCAGATTTTAAAGATCTGACGACGATGAATCCTTTGCGATTTTAAATGGAATGTTACCATTTCTCTCTACACAGCCGGATAAAAATAATCTCAATAATGTTATTATTGCATCTGTTATTTTAACCATGGTCTATTATTTTTTTCTTTTGAAATTACATAATATCCTATGTTAACAAATGTAATGAGGTCCTTCTGAAAACCCATTTCAGATATTTTTATGCTAAGTCGCAGTTACATTTATTATATTGGCACCTTGAATTATCATGTATGTGCAAAACGAGGCCCAGGCATGGGTGCATCTTCAGCTAGCAAATCGGACTGTCGACCCACAATATGAAACACATACACACATTAGTAACACGGTCTTCGACTCGATACTCCGTACGTAAACACGATTTATTTCTCCTGAGAACAGTCCTGGGTTCGGGAGACAGAACTCTCTCGTTTCCTCCCCGCGCACCCTCGTCCCCGAAAATTCAGACCGCGTGACCTTCAAGCGCTCGGCGCACTCGCATCCCCGGGGAGGGGGGGTGAGTCAGGGGCCGTCGGCTCCGCAGCTGCGACGGGAACACGACGCGGCGGCCATGGAGCGGGGGGCCGGGGGCGGGGGCGTGAGAAATGGCGGCCGTCTGTTTGCTTCGCCATCCTTCGCCGC